TTGGCTTGAATTGAATTCAATTTTTCATATTTTTTGTTTCTTCAGTTTTTTGGCAATTTTTCGATTTGTGTTTCTCGATTTTTCATTTTTTAATATTTCTTGATTTTTCGATTTACAATTTTTCGTTTCGATTTTTCAATATTTCAATTTTATAATTTTTTGTCTCTTCAATTAAATTTTTATCAATTTGATTTGTTTTAGTTTTCATTTGTTCAATTTTTCGGTTTTTCAGTTTTTCAATTCTCCAGTTTTTCGATTTTTCAAGTTGTCACTTTTCAGGTTTGTAATTTTTGAACTTTTCTGTTTTTGGATACTTCGATTTCTGGATTTTTCAATTTTTTGGAAATTTTAAATTTTCAATCTTTAAAAGTAAATACATTTTTCGACTTCTCAATTTTTCCGTTTTTGGATATTTTTATTTTTTGATTTTTTGAATTTCTAAATTTTAGATTTTTCAGTTTTTTGATGTATTGATTTTTCGATTTTTCAAGTTGTCACTTTTCAGGTTTTTAATTTTTGAACTTTTCTGTTTTTGGATACTTCGATTTCTGGATTTTTCAATTTTTTGGAAATTTTAAATTTTCAATCTTTAAAATTAAATAAATTTTTCAATTCCTCAATTTTTCGGTTTTTGGATTTTTCAGTTCCTGGATAATTTTATTTTTTGATTTTTCAGTTTTTTGATGTATTGATTTCTCGATTTTTCGACTTCTCGGTTTTAGGATTTAGGCTTTTCAATTTTTCTATTTTTAAAAGGTTTAGGTTTTCATATTTTTCGATATTTTTTAATTTTAAAGTTTTCAATTTTTCCTTTTTTAATTTTTGGTTTTTTCCATTTTGGCCTCTTTCGATTTACCAGTTTTTCGCTTCTTCAAATTCCCGATTTTTCATTTTTTGCTTTTTTGTGGATTTTCGATTTTTTAATTTCTCGGTTTTTCGATTTTACGATTTTTTGACGTTTCGATTTCTCGATGTCTCAGTTTTTCGTTTTTTAATGTTTTTTGACTTTTCGATTTTTAGTTTCCTCAGTTTCTCAAATTTTCGATTTCTGAGTTCAACATTTCAATTTCTGGTTTTTCGATTTTTCCACATTTTGGTTTTCTGATTTTTTGGTTCGAGTGCTTGATCTTTCGAATTTTCGACATTTCGGGCTTAAATTTTTCGGTTTTTCAATTCTTCGGTTTTTATAATTGTTGATTTTTCGATTTTTCAGTTTTTCGATGTTTCAATTTTTCAATTTTTTTCATTTTTCAATTTCCATCTCTCAATGTTTCAGTTTTTAGATTTTTCGATCTTTCGACTTTTGAGTTTTTCGATATCCCAAATTTTCGTCATTTCAGGTTTGGAATTTTTCAATTTCTCGATTTTTCAGTTTTTCGCTTCTTCAATTTTCCGATTTTTCAATTTTTATGAATTTTTAAATTTTAGATTTCTCGGTTATTTGATTTTTCGACTTTTCGATTTTTTGACGTTCCAATTCTCTACGTTTTAATCTTTTGATCTTCAATTTTTCGATACATATTTTATTATTTAAATTTTTCGGTTTTTTAATTTTTCAATTTTTTAAATTCTAGAATTTTAAGTTTCTCTATTTCTCGATTTTCAATTATTCAATATTTGTGTTTTAATGTTTCGATTTTTTAAATTTTACATTTTTCCGTTTTACGATTTTTTGACGTTTCGATTTCTTAATGTCTCGGTTTTTCGACCTTTTTTCGGTTTTTAGATTCCTCGATTTTTCAACATTACAATTTTGGAAATTTTTCAATTTCTAGATTTTCCAATTTTTCGAGATGTTAATGTTTTAATTTTTTGATGTTTCGGATTCCTCGATCTTTCGATTTTTCACAAATCAAAATTCTTTGATTTGTGTTTCTCGATTTTTCAATTTTTAATATCTCTTGATTTTTCGATTTACAATTTTTCGTTTCGATTTTTCAATATTTCAATTTTATAATTTTTTGTTTCTTTAATTAAATTTTAATCAATTTTAGTTTTTTTAGTTTTCATTTGTTCAATTTTTCGGTTTTTCAATGTTCTGATTTTATAATTATTTTTTATTTGTTCTCAATGTGAAATTTTACAGTTTTTTGAATTTTGCAATTTTTCCATTTTTTAAGTTTTAAATTTTGTAATGTTTATTTTTTCAATTTTAGCTTCTTCAGTTACTGGATTTTTCAATTTTTCATTTCTTTAATTTTTGATTTGCATTTTTTCTAGTTTTCATTTTAACTTGTTTGTTTATGCGATTTTTCAATTTTTCGAGTTTCATTTTGCAATTTTCAGTCTTTCAGTGATACAATTTTTCGGCTTAAAAAAATTAATGATTCTAAAATTTTGTTGAATGTATAATTTTTGAGTTTTCTAATTTTTCTATTTGATTCGTTTTTTATTCTTTCCAATTCTTCGATTAATTTTTATTTTATTTTTAGATTGTTAATGTTTCAATTCTTCGATTTGCAATTGTTCGATTTTCCACTTTTTGGTGGATTTTGCACTTTTTCGTTTTTTTCAGTTTTTTGATTTTACAATTTTTTCGATTTATAATTTTTCAATTTTTCCATTTTTCAATATTCCGATTTTAAAATTTTTTTGTTGTTCCAATTTCAATTTTTTCAATTTTTCGATTTGTAATTTTTCAATTTTTTATATAATTTTTCAATTATTCAATTTTTAATGTTTCAATTTTTCGATTTTTCAATGTTCGGATTTTATAATTTTTTTTGTTTTTTCGATTTCAATGTTTCAATTTCAGTTTTTTCAGTTTTTAATATTTAGAAGAATTTGGCGAATATTTCCATAGTTTCAAAAACAAACAGCTGTAACATTGCAGATTTTGCTAACACAATTAAAACAAAAATAATTCCATGGTTAACTAGACGATATTTTTTTTTGATCATATGGTACAATATTTCGGACACCAAAAGGTTCATTATTTGAAAAAAATATAGGAAACATTCGAAAAGAAGTTGTATATGTATAAATAATTTATTACCATATGATCGAAAAAAATGTCGTGCAGTCAGCCATGGAATTAATAGAAAAAAGACCATTCTCTGTTTTCTGACTTGACTTCATTTCGGTAATGATGTTGGATCATAAAAAGTGTATGTCCGGTCTCGGACATTTTTTTTCGTACGTTGACAATATACACTTCAAAATGATAGCTAATTGCATTAGAAAACAACAGTACTGCGACCACAGTTAAAAAAAATAATTCCAAGGCTGACTAGATGATGATTTTTTTTTAATTGAAAAATCGAAAAATCCAAAATTTCAAAAAGTCGAAATGGAAAAATCGAAAGATCGCGGAATCCGAAACATCAAAAAATTAAAAAATCAAAAAACGTAAAAATCGAAAAAGTGGAAACTTAAAAAATAGAAATTTCGAAGAAATGGAAAATCGAAAATAAAGAAATCTAAAAATCTATAATTTAAACAATTGAAAAATTAAAATATCGAAAATTTGAAGAATCGAAAATCGGAACATCAAAAAATCACAAAATTTAAATATTAAAATTTGAAAAATCAGAAAATTGAAAAAACGAAGTCTGAAAAATTCCAAATCTGAAAGGACGAAAAATTGGAAAATTGAAAAACTGAAAAATTGAAACATTGAGAAATCGAAACAGGCCAAAATCGAAAAATCCAAAATTAAGTAATTAAAAAATCAAAAAGTCGAAATCTCGTTTATCGAGAGTAGAACTGAAAAATCTAAAAAGCGAAAAATTGAAAAATCAATAGTTTTAACAATCTAAAAATTGAAAAAGTGAAAAACCTAAAACCGAGAAGTTGAAAAATCGAAAAATCGAGAAATCCAAATATCAAAAAACTGAAAAATCTATGTATAATTTAAAAATTCTAAAAATTAAAAAATTGAAACTCGAAAAGTCCAAAAATCGATGGATCGTGCAGTCGAAAAATCAAAAAATCAAAAATGTAAAATGTGGAAAAACTGAAAAATCCAGAAATTGAAAAATTCTTGTTGACATACTGAGAAACTGAAAACTTGAAAAATCGAGGAACCTAAAAATGAAAAAGTCGAAAAGTTTAAAAAATCGAAACGTCAAAGAATCGTAAAACGAAAAATTGAAAAATTCCAAATCTGAAATGTTGAAAAAACGAACATGGAAAAATTCAAAAACTAAAATCGACAAAACCAAAAACTGAAAAAACGAAAAATCAATAATTTTAAAAATCGAAAATTGAAAAACTGAAAAACCTAAAATTTAAAAATTCGAAAAATCGAAAAATATCCAGAAACTGATAATTCGAAAAATTCAGAAATCGAAGAATCGTTAAATACGCAATTTTTCTCTTTAAAATTGAAATAACATTCATTTGACAAAATTGTAAGATAACATCATCAATTTGCAAAATTTCAGAGCAGTAGATTTAGTAATTTTAAAGTTAAAATATAAAATGTTATACAATTATGATTTTTTCCAAAAATCTGGATACCTAAGGTAAAAATTCAACACGGATTCATAAACCACAAATGGAGTAATAAATTTACTAGACAGACGGATGCTATGATTTGCATCACATTATACCCTATAGTGCAGAAATCGATCATTTTCTCTTTAGTACATGTATGGACGCAAAATCAATAGTACCATATTGACAATTAAAATTTATCATATCTTGCTTAGATACCACAATCCAACTATTTTTAGTGTTGCGAAAGTGATTATTGCTTTGTAAACTATCTTGTTTCTGGGTTATTTTTGTCACAATTAGGTTACCAATTAGAATATAATTGTTAATTTTGTTTTCTAATGTCTACAGATTATTGTTTAGACTTAGTATTGTGATCTTCAGTTTTCGAAGTCCACTTTTATACAAAGTTCACATTTTTTTATTATTCCTTACTAATTTTTGTGACCATTTTAACAAAAACCAAGAAGAGAATGCAGAAGTGTCAACAGATACCATATCATAAAAAAAAGTCATCTGGTAGGCTATGAAATAACTCTGTGAAGATTTAGAAAACTCCTCACCATATCACTCCCCCATATTCATCGACGCGTCATACGGGGGCGGCTCCTCCTCCGTGATCAGCCTCAGCCGCACCGTCTCGGCCGCCGAGTCGTACACCACCCCCAGACTGCCGGCGTTGGCAGCGGCGTTCGGCACCATGATGTTCTCCACCTCGACGCTGTCGGTCTTGAGCGGCGGCGGCGTCGCCTTCCGCTCCCGGATGGAGGCGGCGCGGTGCACCCCCGACTGCAGCAGCGACTCCTGCTGCGTCTCGTTGTTGCCGTTGCAGGTGCGCTCCGAGCGCCAGTTGCCCAGCCGCCCCACGGGGGTGCGGGACGAGGAGTCGCAGCAGGGCAGGACCTGCTTGAACTCCTTGCGGAAATTCTCGTTGAGCCAGGCGTACAGGAAGGGGTTGTAGCAGGTGGAGGACATGGCGAGGGCGTGGACGAGGAAGAAACTCAGCAGGTAGTATTCCCAGTTGCCGATTTGATGGTAGAAATCGTTGATTAGGTTGATGAGGTTGAGGGGAAGCCAGGAGATTAAGAAGATTACGACCTGCAAGAGAGAAGGATATGTTGGGTTAGTCGTGTTTCGGTACGGGAGCGAGGCCAATTTATTTACCGGATTTGGCTGCTTTGGCGGAGTACCTTATTTTTCGATAAATGTTCGGTAAGTTTTTCGGGGAAAGTCATTAAGTTTGTGATTGGGATGTACAGAGAGCTTTCCATGATTAAATGTCAATTGATGGGTGGTGATAACGTGAGAAGTGGCTGATCAGAATGAGTTTTGTCTTTGTAACGTGCACCCTTTTAAAGGGGTTATTTAGAAGACTTTTTTGTTGCGAGTTTAAAACGTGGCATCCAATTTAAATTAAGCTCTCGAAAACTTCTTATCTCGTTCTTTGCGAAAAGTGTTTTCGAAACTTTAGCTTGCATTTATACAAAAAAGCTCGCTTGCAATTATAAAATAAATGCATTTTCTACTTTATATATTCGTTTGATTATAACTTTATTTTAATATAATTAATTACATGTTTAAACACGAAATAAATCAAGCCTTTATTTTGATCAAGCGTATACAAACACAAATAAAAATTATAATTAGCTTCCTGTAAACAGTCATGACTCCTTTAATCAAATGTATCGATAAATTAACTACTTTGTGTTATTAATAATTTTCAATTCCTAGTACGTATTTTTAATTTTTAGTTATATTTTTTATTTTAGTTGCACCTGTACATCACAGCCTTTTCTATTTTCGTATGCTGCTGTTTACTAGTTTATTGCTTCCAATTTTACAATTTATTTGGTCATTCGATCATGCTTTACATTATCTTATTTACAGTGTATTGTGCGAGTCATTGTAAAGTTTATTTTGGCCGGAATTCAACTCAATTTACTACTTTTTTGAGAAATTACATATCTATTATTTTTACCTCATAGTAGCAACATCATACTAACATCTACAAGCCAAATTTTGCTGTTTTTTTTTTTAATATTGGATTTTATACAATTTGTAAATAAAGAAAATGTATTTGTAAATACAGAGACGAGAAATTTTACCAAAAAAATATCAGATTCGATAATAATAAAAACTTTTTAAGCAACGCCAAACTTTATTTCACAAAGGTTACATGTTATCAACGAATATTCGATATTTTGTGATGTATTTTTTTAAAGTACTACTAAAATCAAGGCATATACAATTTTTTTCGTTTTTTTAACACGTCATTTTTAGCTGAATTTGTACGCTGTTTTTTAATATACAGGGTGAGTTATTAAGTACGGACGATTCGATATATCATTAATTATTATTATATATAGAAAAAAAAGTTATAAACAAAACAAGGCAACGGAAAAGACCCCAAAGAGTAAATACGACAAAAACGGTGACAAAAATGCTATTGAAAACGGCTAGAGACAAAAAATATACAAAAAGATGGCCATGGACAAAACAACATCTGAAACGACAAAAAGGCGCAAAAATAAGGCGGCAAGAAATGATGACAAAAAACGAGACAAAGAAGATGAAAAAAGAGACAAAAAACGAAGAAACCCACAAAAAAATGGAACAAAAATGAAAAATTGCCAAAAAGGATTAAAAATCCAATAGACAAGAGGACGCAAAGCAATGAGAAAAAAAAACGCCAAAGAAGTGCTAAAAAAGCGCCAAAAAACGACGGCAAAAAAGAGGCAGTAAAAAAAAACTGGCAAAAAGAAACCAGAAATGACAACAAAAAGCAGAGACAAAAAAAGCAACAACAAAGCGAAAAAACGACAAAAAAAAGGCAAACAAATCGAAAAACAAGAGCCAAGAAAGGAGATAAAAAATGGGGCAAGAAAAGGAGTTTAAAAAAACGCGACTAAAAAGAGGTCAAAAAAAGCGACAAGAAATAACAAAAAAAGAGACAAAAAGTGTATGAAAACAAAAAAGCGACGATGAATGAGACAAAATCATGTACTAGAAAAGAAAAAATTTTAAAATTTAATGAACCGAAAAACGAAAATTGAAAAGAGAAAATCGAGAAATCAAAATATCGAAAAATTGAAAAACTGAAAAATCAAAAAATTGGGAAATCGAGACATTTGAAAGTTAGAAAAATTGAAAAAGCAAGAGGGCGAAAAGTCGAAAAACCCAGAAATTGGAAAAATTGGGAAATTGAAAAATCGAAATGAAAAAATTTAAGAAACCGAGAATTTAAAAAACTACGAATTGAAATCTAAAATCAAAATTTTTAAAATGGAAAACTAAGAACTCAAAAAATCGAAACATCAAAAATCGAGAATTCAAAAAATTTTCAAGATCGAATAATTGAAAAATTGTAACATCACAAAAACGAAAGGTTAAAAAATGAATTTTAAAAAATCTAAATGTCGAAAACTGAAAGATCGAAAAATTAAAAAAAAAAAAATCCAGAAATTGGGAGAGATTGGGAAATTAAAAAACGGCAAATCGAAACATTAAAATATTAAAAAAGAAGCAGAACAAAATCGAAAAAGCAAAAAATCGGACGAAAATTGAAAAGTGAAAAATCGAGAAATCAAAATATCGAAAAATTGAAAAACTGAAAAATCAAAAAATTTGGGAAATCGAGACATTTAAAAGATAGAAAAATTGAAAAAGCGAGAAGGCGAAAAGTCGAATAACCCAGAAATTGGAAAGTGGAAAAATTCGAAAATTCAAAAATCGAGAAATCGAAACACCAAAAACGAAAAAAAGTGTCACAAAGAAAGTGTTCAAAAGGCAAAAAAGGTGAGAAAAGAAAAAAAGCGACGAAGAACGAAAATCGCCAAAAAATGCCACTAAAAATGATAAAAAACATTCCAAAAAGGATAAAAACTTTTCAAAAGGAGGAGGCAAAGACACAACATAACACTAAAATTGTCAAAAAAGCAACAAAAAAGGCAAAAAAGAGGACAGAAAAAAGACCAGAGAAAAAAGATGAGCAGAAAAAACAATAAGAAAAAGGGTCATAAAAAAGAGATTAAAAAAGGGGACCAAAACAGCGAGAAGAAAAAGGCCTCAAGAATTGAGAGAAAAGTGATAAAAAAGAGAGGGTAAAAACATAACGGGAAAAGTGTTGAAAAAACTACGAGTACAAGAAATAGTGACTTAAAGAGAAAAAAAGGTGAAAAAAAGGCGACTAAAAAACGTAAGAAAACAAAATAGGCATAAAAATTGAGGCAAAAAAAATTGGTAGAAAAGAGGAGTGACAACAATAAGATAAAAAAGCGCCAAAAGCGACCAAAAACAGGATGTGAAAAGCGACAAAAAGTGAGACAAAGGAAGTATTCAAAAAGAATAAAAGATGAGAACACGAAAAGCTACGAAAAGTGAAAATCGCCAAAAAATGTCACTAAAAATGATAAAAAAACACTCCAAAAACGGCAAAGAAACGGCTAACTATGTCAAAAAAGCTACAAATAAAGTTAAGAAAGATGAGAGAAAAAGTGAGAAGAAAAAGAAAAAAAAAATGCCCAAAAAGGCTTGAAAAGAAAAGGCAAAGAAAAGCGCCAAAAAGCGACCACAAAAAAGATAAAAAGGGAGGTTAAAAAGACAAGAAAGCGATCAAAAAGAGGAGGTGAAAATCGACAAAAATCTGATACAAAGAAAGTGTTCAAAATGCAAAAAAGGTGAGAAAACAAAAAAGCGACGAAGAATGAAAATCGCCAAAAATGCCACTAAAAATGATAAAAAACACTCCAAAAATAACCTGAAACTGACCAAAAAAAGTTAAACAAAGATGGGAGAAGAAGGTAAGAAAAAATGCTCAAAAATGCTTGAATGGAAAAAGCAAAAAAAGGAAGAAAGGCGACAAAATACGATCACAAAAAAAAGACAAAATATGACGCCAAAAGGGGGGACAAAAAAGCAGAAAACGGAACAGGAAACCGTAAGAAAAAGATCGCAAAAAAGCGATAAAAGGTGACAAGAAATTGCGACAAAAAAAGACACAAAAAGAAAAGGCAAAAAAAGTGACAATGGATATGACAGACAAGAGCAGACAGAAAAGTTGCCCTAGAATATGCGACTGAAAAATCTACTATAAAATCTGACAAAAAAAAGCCCAAAAAAAAGGAGTTTGTAAAAAAAGACGAAAAGAATGAACAAAAAAATTTGATCGGAACCAAAAAACGCCAAAAAATGCGAAAAAAGCGTCAAAAAACGACGTCAAAAAAAGTAGTAAAAAACGAAAAAATAGGCAAACAAATCGACAAAAAGAAATTACAAAAAACAAGAGCCAAGAAAGAAGGTAAAAAAATGGGCAAGAAAAGGTGTCTAAAAAAAGCGACAAAAAAGAGGTCAAAAACCCGACAAGAAATAGCCAAAAAAAAGGAACAAAAAACGTATAAAACAAAAAAGCGACGAAAAATGAGACAAAATCGTGAATGAGACATGATCATGTAATTGAATAATTGAAAAGAGAAAATTTTAAAATTTAAAGAATCGAAAAACAAAAATTGAAAAGTGGAAAATCGGGACATCTAAAAATTCGAAAAATTGAAAAAATCAGAAGGCGAAAAGTCGAAAAACCCAGAAATTGGAAAATGGAAAAATTGGCAAATTGAAAAATCGAGAAATCGATACACCGAAATATTAAAAAATAGTTGAAGAATTTAAAATAAAAAAATTTGAAACACCGAATTAGATTAAAAAATTGAAGAATCGAAAAATCGAACTGTCAAAAATTTAAGAAACCGAGAATTTAAAAAAATCTAAAAATTGAAACATTGAAAAATCGAAAAACAAGATTTTTAAAATCGAAAAATGGAAAACTAATAACTCGAAAAATTGAAACGTCGAAAAATTTTGAAAATCGGATAATTGAAAAACTGAAACATCACAAAAACCAAAGCTTGAAAAATGAAGAATTTCAAAAATATAAAAGTTGAAAACTGAAAGATCGAAAAATAAAAAAAAAGAAAAATCGAGAAATTGATCAAAAATTTAAATTTTGAAAAATTGAAAGAGCGAGATGGCGAGAGGTCGACAAACCGAGAAATTATGAAATTGAAAAATCGGTAAATCGAAACATCAAAATATTAAAAAAATAGAAGCAGACCAAAATCCAAAAAGCGGAAATCGGAAGACAAAGAATTAAAAAAAATTGAAAAATGTACAATTTAAAAAAATCCAAACGTTCGGAAAGTAAAAACGACAAAAAACGCAAAAAAGCGACAAAATAAGTTATAAAAGTAAAGAGCAAAAAAGAAAGTAAAAAATGCGGCAAGAAAGAGTGTGCAAAACAAAAACGCGACAAAAAAATAATTCAACAAAATGACAAGAAATAGTCAAAAAAGGGACAAAAACCGTATGAAAACGAAAAAGCGACGATGAATGAGACAAAAACATGTAATAGAAAAGAAGACGTAAAAAATGCGGCTAAAATAGATTTAATGAAGCGCTAAAAAACAACAAAAGAGGTGTTAAAAAAATGACACAAAAAATATAAAAAAAGCGACAAAACAGGGGGTAAAAAAGTGCGAGAAGAAAAAAGTTTAAAACCGACAAAAAAGCCCTCAAAAATCTACAGTAAAAGTGACAAAAAAGAAAAAAGAGAAGGTAAAAAAACAAGAAAAAAGTCTTCCAAAAATCGACTAGAAATGCCGGTAAAAAACAGAGACAAGAGAGGTACAAAAATAAGAAAAAAAGGCAAAAGACTAAGATTTGTCTCTTTTAGTCACTATTTCTTGTACTCGTAGATTTTTCAACATTTTTTTTGTTGCGTTTTTTTGGTCAACTTTTTTTGCCTCAGGCTACAAAAAAACGTAAGAAAATAGAAGGACACAAAAAATGTAACAAAAATAAATGTGACTGAAAAGCGGACGCACAAAAATATGGCTAAAAGTAATGAGAAAAAAGGTGCCAAAAGGGACAAATCAAAGGAGTAAAAAACGACAAAAAACTATCACAAAGAAAATGTTCAAAAGGCAAAAAAGATGAGAAAACAAAGAAAGCGACGAAAAATGAAAATCGCCAAAAAATGCGACCAAAAATGATAAAAACTCACCAAAAGAAGGCGACAAAGAAACGACATAACACTAAAAATGACAAAAAAGCGACAAAAAGGTAAAAGAGGTCAGAAAAAAGATGAGAAGAAAAAAGAGAAAAAGATGCCCAAAAATGCTTGAAAAGAAAAGGCAAAAAATGGAAGAATGACGACAAAATGCGACTACAAAAAAAAAGACAAAAATAGCGCCAAAAAGGGAGAGTAAAAAGGGAAGAAAAGGGGACAGAGAACCGTATCAAGAAAAGGGCACAAAAAAGCGACAAAAAAGGCTTCAAAAACCGATAGAAAAATGACAAAAAAAAGAGGGGGTAAAAATAAATACAAGAAAAAATTTGTCAAAAATCGACTAGAAATGAGGGTAGAAACAAGACAGCAACAAAAAAAGCAAAAAAGAGGTAAAAAAGCAGCAGAAGAAGGACCAAAAAACACTACAAAAAAGGGTTGAAAAAACTACGAACACAAGAAATAGTTACCAAAAAAGACAAAAAAGATGAAAAAAGGCAACCAAAAAACGTAAGAAAACAAACAAACTACGAAAAATGAGACAAAAAATGTGACGAGAAAGATGAGTGACGACCAAAAAGAGGAGATAAAAAACGACAAAAAAGTGACACAAAAAGAGTGTTCAAAAGGCAAAAAAGGTGAGAAAATAAAAAAGCGAGGAAAAATGAAAATCGACAAAAAATGCCACTTAAAATGATGAAAAACACCTCAAAAATGACAAAAAACATAGCAAAAGAAGGTGGCAAACACTAAAAATGTCTAAAAAGCGACAAAAGAAGTCAAAAAAGATGGGAAAAAAGGTGAGAAGAAAAATCACAAAAAAAGTACAAAAAATTGAAAAGAAAAGGCAAAGAAAAGCACCAAAATGCGACCACACAAGCGCCAAAAAGGGAGATGAAAAAGAAAAGAAAAGGGAACAGAAAACCATAAGAAAAAAGCGACAAAAATTGACAAGAAATTACTACAAAAAAACACAGAATAAAAGCCAAAGCAACAAACAGTATTGAAGAGTCTGTAAAAATACGAAAAAATGGACAAAAGAATGTAATCAAAAATCGGAAGCAAAAAATGCGACTAAAAAAATAAAAAAGTGCTAAAAATCGATAAAAAGCGGCAAGAAAAAAATGTATAAAAGCGTCAAAATAGCCTCAAAAAATAAGACAAAAATATATGACTAGAGAAAACAGGACAAAAAATGCTACACTAAAACTACAGAAAAAAACACAAAACATGTAAAACAAAGAAACAAAAAAAAATAGGAAAAAAGACAAAAAATATTAAAAAAAAAGAAAAAGTCAGCGACCAAAAAAAAATCAAAAAAGCGACAAAAATCAATGACAAAAAAATTAATACACTGATAACCCACATACTTAATTTTGGTCTGACTTGACTTGACCTGCCTCAAACTGACCCGATCTGATCTGACCTGACCTGACTTGGTCTCACCCGACTTGACCTCTCTATTGTCTCAAATAAACTAATTTTAAACAATTCTGTGAATAAATAATAATCAAAAAGTACATTGTATTAATAATAATTTCTGTTTCATATCTGTCTGTTTTGCGCTTTTTTTTCTAATTTGTAAAAATAACAATTAATGAGAAATTTTTAAAATTCGCATATTCTCAGGATTAACTACATTCAGTAGTAGTAGTAGCAGTAGCAGTTCCTTAGAAAATATGAGCGTCATTTCCTATAAGTGGCTAATTGCAGGTAATTACAAAAGTTAAAATCAGATCCCACCGAACTCACCATAGCAATAAGCATCCGATTCGTCCTCCGTTTCCTCTCCCTGTCCGCCTCCTCCTTCCTCGAGTTCTTCGATCCCGGCTTACTCCTCGCCCTGTCGTTCAGCTTAATGGACACACAAATATAGCAGAACATGATAATGAAAAACGGAAAAACGAACTGCATCGTCGTAGTGAAACCCCCAAACAGCTTCCTCCACTTCTCGCTAGGCCAGTTCTCGTCGCAGTAGTACTTCACCACGTTGTCCTCCGTCTGGTTCCTGCTCACATGCGTCATGTACACCCCGTAGGGCAGCGTGACCAGGATCGAGAACACCCAGACCACGACAATAATAAAAATGCAAGTGGAGATCTTCATCCGAGGATGGAACGGGTAGATGATGACGAAGAAGCGATCGATGGCGATGGACATCAGCGTGAGCGTGGAGATGTAGACGCTGGCGCCCTGCGCGTACGGCACCAGGTGGCAGATGGCGCTGCCGAACACCCACTCCCCGAGGAAGGTGTAGAGGGGGGTGAAGGGCACGGCGAGCACGCACAAGAGGATGTCGGAGAGCGCGAGGTTCGTGATGAAGAGGTTGGTCACAGTCTGCATGGCGCGGCTGCGGAACACCACGTAGCACACGAGCACGTTGCCGAAGATGCCCAGCACGAAGATGGTGGTGTACACCATGAAGAAGATGGACTGCACGAGCGTGTTGTGGATGATGTCGTGGGTGCCGTTGCCGACGGGGGCGTTCCATTCCTCGTTGGTAGCGGTGCTGTTGTTGAAATCCATGGCACTTGGCACTAAGAGTTTACATTTTGGTTTGGCAGTCTACGAGGCTGGCCGAGGTGAAAAAACACTTTGATTAGTGATGGAGATGATAATTCGGTGGGTCAATATTTATGCTGACGAGACGGGTGCTTCAGTGGTGGAAGTGAGGCGGGCTTGGTTGGTTCGAATGGAAGGTACGACGGTGGTACGGAGGTGCATGGGTGGTGTCTTGGTTAGGTGGGCAGTTTGAAGATTGATGTGGAATATGTTAAGTACTAGCTAGTGGTGAAGATGGTGGTGTTTTTTGTTGTTGTATAGTCTCTGCAAAAGATTGGTCTGTACAAGATTTGGTAAATGTCGCGGCTGAAGTAAATGAGTTGTGAGAAATGGAAAGGTGTCATGGTGAAATATATTTTTTACAAATAGTTAACTGTTTGTTTTTCTCTTTACAAAAATTTTGTTTAGTTGTGCACTGGACATACTATAGGGTGTACTTTCCGTCTATGGTCACTTGACAAAGTTAATATAGTAACTTAAAAATATGGATGAGACATAATATTGAAGATGAAATTTCAGCTGTGAAGAAACTTCTTTCCTATCTTTTAATTTAAGATTTAATTTAGAGTACCTAAATACTAGGCGTTCAGTTTGCAAAACCATAAAAAATATTTGGATTCCATAGAAAGAAATTGAAAGATAAAAAAAAAATAATAAGATTAACACATTTTTAAAATTTTTTCTAGAAATTTTGGAATTAGAGGTTTTCTTTCCCCCTTTTTGATTTATTTTGTATTATTGTACTTACAATACAAAGTTCAACGGCTCTCCAGTAAATTTTTGACTTTTTGAACACCGTCGAAAATGATCAAAAATGATTTTTTTACAGATTTCGACCTCTAGAATTTGTTTTCGGTTTCGTTTCTTCGAAAATTTCTACCATTTTTCCAGAATCGCCAAAATAGCTTGTGTAATTTTTAGAAGTACCTAGTATTTAAAAATTTTATTTTAAAAATGATTAGCTCCGTAATCTTTGTCCAGGACCTTCAACAAGCTATGTTTTTAAAATTAACTTATTGAGATCTATATTCCAAAATTTTTGGTGGATTTTTAGGCAACTTTACCTCAAGTCCAGTTTTTCAGTATAAGATTTTATGAAATTTTTGTCTTTTATCAGGCATTGTTTTGAAAATTTACTGGAGAGCCGTTGAACTTTGTGCAAAAAAGACTTGTTTGGTTTAATATTCTGAAAATTTTAAATTTTTCTTGGAATTTTAAATTTCCAAACGTAGAAGATTTGGATTTTAGTGAAAGAAGCTGAAGGATTTAAAAAATGTTCCACAAGATTAACATTTTTTAGAAATTTCGTTTCAGATTTCACGTTTTTCTTTTCAGGGTTTCTAGGAATTTTGAAATTATAGTTTTTTTCACTTTGTTTGATTTATCTTTTATTGTGAATTTTAAATTATAAAATTTACTGGAGAGACGTCGACTTTGTACAAAAAGGTTGGTTTGGATTAAAATAATCTGAAACCTTTAAAGTTTTCTTGGAATTTTAAACCTCCAAACGTAGAAGATTTGGATTTCAGAGAAAGAAAATGAGGGATTTAAACATTGTTCCATAAAATTAACATTTTTTAGAAATTTCTTTTAAGATTTCACGTTTTATTTTCAGAATTTTTTGAAATTTTCAGTTCATAAGTTTTCTTTCACTTTGATTGTTTGATTTATCTTGTACAAAACAGATTTGTTTGGTTTCTGAAACTTTTACATTTTTTCTGACAATTTTAGCTTTCCAAACGTACAAGATTTGGGTTTTGCAGAAAGAAATTGAAAGATTTAACATTTTTTTGGTAAGATTAACTTATTTTCGAAATTTTATTTAAAATTTCACTTTTTTTCAGATTTCAAGAAATGGTTTAATATTTTCAAACTTCTAGATTTTTTTGAGGATTTCATCTTTATAAATGTAGAAGAATTGGATTTTGTAGAAAGAAATTGGAAGATCTAAAAAATTTTAAAAGATTAGCATATTTTCGAAATTTCCTTTGATGTTTCAAGCTTTTTTTTTATAGAAATTTTGAAACTATAGGATTTCTTTCACTGTATTTGATTTATCTTGTAGTATTATTAGTATTAAATTAAAAAATTTACTGGAGAAACTTTGAACTTTAGATTTTTTTCTAAGAATTTTAACTTTCTAAACGTAGAAGATTTAGGTCTTCTAGAAAGAAGTTGAAAGTTTAAAAAAAAAGAAAATTAACAGTTTTTCGAAATTTCCTTTAAGAGCTTACATTTTTTATTTAAGAGTTTCTAGAAATCTTGAATTTTTTTATGTTCTTGCACAGTGTTTGATTTATCTTTTTGTATTTAAATATTAACGTTGAAAATTTACTGGGGAGACGTTGAACTTTTGTATAAAACAGATTTGTTTGGTTTAAAATTCTGAAATTTCTAAATTTTTTTCCTAACATTTTAACATTCCAAACGTAGAAGATTTGGATTCTATAGAAAGAAATTAAAAATTTTTAAACATTTTTTTTATACGATTAACATATTCTCGAAATGTCCTTTAATATTTTACATTTTTTTTCAGAATTTCTAGAAATTTTGCTATCATAAATTTTTTCGCTGCGTTTAATTTATTTTGTTGTATGGTGAATATTAATTTTACAAATTTACTAGGGAAACGCTGAACTTTTGTACAAAACAGATTTGTTTGGTTTAATACTTATGTTGAAACTTGTAGTTTTTTCTAAGAATTTTAGCTCTCTAAACATAGAAGGTTTGGATTCTCTAGAAAGAAATTGATAGTTTTTTAAAAAATTGAATAAGATTAACAGTTTTTCGAAATTTCCTTTAAAATTTCAGTTTTTTTCCGATTTCTAGAAATGGTTTAATATTTTGAAACTTCTAGACTTTTTTTGAGAATTTCGACCTTCTAAATGTAGAAGAACTGAATTTTGAAAAGAGTGGCATATTTTCGAAATTTTCTTTTTATTTTCAGAAATTTTGAAACTAGGTTTTCTTTCACTGTATTTGATTTAGCTTGTAGTATTATGAGTATTAACTTTGAAAATTTACAGGAGAGACTTTGAACTTTAGATTTTTTCTAAGAATTTTAACTTTCTCAACTTAGAAGATTTTGGTATTCTAGAAAGAATTTGAAAGTTAAAAAAAAATTAATAAGATTAGAAGTTTTTCGAAATTTCCTTTAAGAGTTTACGTTTTTTGTTTCAGAATTTCTAGAAATCTTGAAATTTTAGAGTTTCTTGCACTCTGTTTGACTTATTTTTTGTATTTGAATATTTACGTTAGATTTTTTTTATAAGAATTTGAACATTCTGATTTGGGTTCCCTACAAAAAAAAATGGAGAGTTTTTAAACATTTTTAATAAGAATAACATATTTTCGAAATGTACTTTAACATTTTACAATTTTTTTTGATTTTTTAGAAATTTTGAAATAATAAGATTTCTTCACTGTGTTTACTTCATTTTGTTGTAGTTCATTTTCTTTCAGAATTTGTAGAAATTTTGTTTTATTGTGAATTAACGTTGAACTTTTGTACAAAATAGATTTGTTTAGTTTCATATTTTGAAACTTGTAGTTTTTTCTAAGAAATTTAACTTTCCAAAAGTACAAAATTTGGATTCTATAGAAAGAAATTGAAAGTTTTTAAAAAATTTTTAAAAGGATTAACATATTTTCGAAATTTCCTTTAAGGTTTCACTTTTTTTCAAAATTTCTAGGAATTTTGAAATTATGTGTTTCCTTCACTGTGCGTAATTTATCTTATTCTAGGGTGAATATTGACTTTGAAAATTTGCTGGGGAGATGTTGAAATTTGTACAAAATAGGTTTGTCGGTTTAATATTCTGAAATTTCTAGATTTTTTTCTCAGAATTTTAACTTTACAAACGTAGAAGATTTGGATTCTGCAGACAGAGATTGAACGATTTACAATATTTTTAATAATATGAACAAATTTTCAAAGTTTCCTTGAAGATTACAGGTTTTTTCAGAGATTTTAGAATTTCTGAAATTATAGGTCTTCCTTTTCTGTGTTTGATTTATCTTGTTGTATACTGAATATTTGAAAATTTACTGGAGGGACACTGAAATTTATACAAAACAGATTTGAAATAATTTTGGGAGGCCCTTGTGTTTTATATTTGAAACAGTTTTAAAGAATTTCGGGGAATCCTACATTTTCCTAAGGATTTGAACTTTCCAAACGTAGACGATTTGGATTCTACCTATAGAAAGCAACTGAAAGATTAAAAAAAAAATCAGTTGCTTAGATTAACCTGTTTCCGAAATTTCCTTTAAGATTTCCCGTTTCTTTTTCAGAACTTCTAGAAATTTTTGAAATTTTATGTTTTCTTTCACTGTGCTTAATTTATCTTTTCATTCAATGTATTTGATTTATCTTGAAATATTTGAGTTTTAACTTTGAAAATCTGCTAGAGAGTCTTTCATTTTTGTACAAAACAGAGTTGGTTGATTTAATATTTTGAAAATTCTACATTTTTTGTAAGAATTTATACTTTCTAAATGTATAGAAATTAGATTCTGTAGAAAGAAATTGAAAGATTTAAAAATATTTTAATAAGATTAACGTATTTCTGAAATTTCCTTTAAGATTCTACGTTTTTTTAGAATTTTTAGAAATAACGAAATTATAAATTTTCTTCCAGTCTGTTTCGTTTATCTTGTTGTATTGTGAATATTAACTTTGAAAATTTACTGAGGAGACGTTGAACTTTGTACAAAACAGATTAATTTGGTGTAATGTTCTCAAAATTTTAGATTTTTCTTAGAATTTCAAATTTCCAAACGTAAAGGATTTGGATTCTAGAGAAAGAAATTGATGGATTTAAAAAAATTTCCCATAAGATTCACATATCTTTGAAATTTCCTTTAATACACCACGTTTTTTTTTTCGGAATTTCTAGAAATTTTGAAGTTATAAATTTTCATTGACTCTATTTGATTTATTTTGAAAAATTGTGAGTTTTAACTTTGAAAATTTACTGGAGAGTCTTTCTATTTTGTACAAAACAGAGTTGGTTGATTTAATGTTTTGAAAATTCTAGATTTTTTGTAAGAATTTTAACTTTCCAAAAGTAAAAGATTTGGATTCTGTAAAAATAAATCGAAAGGTTTATAAAAATTATGATAAGATTAACACATTTTCAAAATTTCCTCTAAAATTTCACGTTTTTTTCAGAATTTCTAGAAATTTTGAAATTAGAGGTTTTCGTTCACATTACAGAAAGAAATTGAAGGATTTAAAAAATGTTCCCAAAAGATTCGCATAGTTTTGAATTTTTCTTTAATATACCAAGTTTCTTTTTTCGGAATTTCTAGAAATTTTGAAGTTATAAATTTTCATTCACTCTATTTGATTTATCTTAAAATATTGTGAGTTTTAACTTTGAAAATTTACTGTAGAGTCTTTCAATTTTGTCCAAAACAGAGTTGGTTGATTCAATATTTTGAAAATTCTAGTTTTTTTGCAAGAATTTTAACTTTCCAAAAGTAGAAGATTTGGATTCTGTAAAAATAAATCGAAAAGTTTATAAAAATTATAATAAGATTAACACATTTTCAAAATTTCCTCTAAAATTTCACGTTTTTTTCAGAATTTCTAGAAATTTTGAAATTAGAGGTTTTCGTTCACATTAGAGAAAGAAATTGAAGGATTTAAAAAAATTTACCATAAAATTCACATATTTTTGAAATTTTCTTTAATATACCAAGTTTCTTTTTTCGGATTTTCTAGAAATTTTGAAGTTCTAAATTATCATTCACTCTGTTTGATTTATCTTGAAATATTGTGAGTTTTAACTTTGAAAATTTACTGGAGAGTCTTTCAATTTTGCACAAAACGGAGTTGGTTGATTTAATATTTTGAAAATTGTAGATTTTTTGTAAGAAGTTTAACTTTCCAAAAGTAGAAGATTTGGATTCTGTAAAAACAAATCGAAAGGTTTATAAAAATTATTATAAGATTAACACATTTTCAAAATTTTCTCTAAAATTTCACGTTTTTTTCAGAATTTCTAGAAATTTTGAAATTAGAGGCTTTCGTTCAAATTAGAGAAAAAAATTGCAGGATTTAAAAAATTTCCCACAAGATTCACATATTTTTGAAATTTTATTTAATATACCAAGTTCCTTATTTCGGATTTTCTAGAAATTTTGAAGTTATAAATTTTCATTCACTCTATTTGATTTATCTTAAAATATTGTGAGTTTTAACTTTGAAAATTTACTGTAGAGTCTTTCAATTTTGTCCAAAACAGAGTTGGTTGATTCAATATTTTGAAAATTCTAGTTTTTTTGCAAGAATTTTAACTTTCCAAAAGTAGAAGATTTGGATTCTGTAAAAATAAATCGAAAAGTTTATAAAAATTATAATAAGATTAACACATTTTCAAAATTTCCTCTAAAATTTCACGTTTTTTTCAGAATTTCTAGAAATTTTGAAATTAGAGGTTTTCGTTCACATTAGAGAAAGAAATTGAAGGATTTAAAAAAATTTACCATAAAATTCACATATTTTTGAAATTTTCTTTAATATACCAAGTTTCTTTTTTCGGATTTTCTAGAAATTTTGAAGTTCTAAATTATCATTCACTCTGTTTGATTTATCTTGAAATATTGTGAGTTTTAACTTTGAAAATTTACTGGAGAGTCTTTCAATTTTGTACAAAACGGAGTTGGTTGATTCAATATTTTGAAAATTGTAGATTTTTTGTAAGAATTTTAACTTTGCCAAAAGTAGAAGATTTGGATTCTATAAAAATAAATCGAAAGCTTTATAAACATTCTATTAAGATTAACACATTTTCAAAACTTCCTCTAAAATTTCACGTTTTTTTTTTAGAATTTCTAGAAATTTTGAAATTAGAGGTTTTCGTTCACATGAGAGAAGTAAATTGAAGGATTTAAAAAATGTTCCCAGAAGATTCACTTATTTTTGAAATTTTCTTTAATTTACCAAGTTTCTTTTTTCAGAATTTCTAGAAATTTTGAAGTTATAAATTTTCATTCACCGTATTTGATATATCTCGAAATATTGTGAGTTTTAACTTTGAAAATTTATTGGAGAGTCTTTCAATTTTGTACAAAACAGAGTTGGTTGATTTAGTATTTTGAAAATTCTAGATTTTTTTTAAGAATTTTAACTTTCCAAAAGTAGAAGATTTGGATTTTGTAAAAATAAATCGAAAGGTTTATAAAAATTATAATAAGATTAACACATTTTCAAAATTTCCTCTAAAATTTGACGTTTTTTTAGAATTTCTAGAAATTTTGAAATCAGGGGTTTTCGTTCACATTAGAGAAAGTAATTGAAGTATTTAAAAAATTTTCCCATAAGATTCACATATTTTTAAAATTTTCTTTAAAATACCAAATTTCATTTCTCGAAATTTCTAGAAATTCTGAAGTTATAAATTTTCATTGACTGTATTTGATTTATCTTGAAATATTGTGAGTTTTAACTTTGAAAATTTACTGGAGAATTTTTCAATTTTGTACAAAACGGAGTTTCTAGATTTTCTGTAAGAATTTTAAGTTTCCAAAAGTAGAAGATTTGGGTTCTATAAAAATAAATCCAAAGGTTTATAAAAATTATAGTAAGATTAACACATTTTCAAAAATTCCTGTAAAATTTCACGTTTTTTTTTCAGAATTTCTTGAAATTTTGAAATTATAGGTTTTCGCTCACATTAGAGAAAAAAATTGAAGGATTTAAAAAAAATCCCATAAGATTCACATAGTTTTGAATTTTTCTTTAATATACCAAGTTTCTTTTTTCGGAATTTCTAGAAATTTTGAAGTTATAAATTTTCATTCACTGGATTTGATTTATCTTGAAATATTGTGAGTTTTAACTTTGAAAATTTACTGGAGAGTCTTCCAATTTTGTACAAAACGGAGTTTCTAGATTTTTTGTAAGAATTTTAAGTTTCCAAAAGTAGAAGATTTGGGTTCTGTAAAAATAAATCCAAAGGTTTATAAAAATTATAATAAGATTAACACATTTTCAAAATTTCCTCTAAAATTTCACGTTTTTTCAGAATTTCTAGAAATTTTGAAATTATAGGTTTTCGCTCACATTAGAGAAAAAAATTGAAGGATTTAAAAAAAAATTCCATAAGATTCACATAGTTTTGAATTTTTCTTTAATATACAAAGTTTCTTTTTTCGGAATTTCTAGAAATTTTGAAGTTATAAATTTTCATTCACTGCATTTGATTCATCTTCAATATTGTGAGTTTTAACTTTGAAAATTTACTGGAGAGTCTTTCAATTTTGTATAAAACAGAGTTGGTTGATTTAATATTTTGAAAATTCTAGATTTTTTGTAAGAATTTTAACTTTCCAAAAGTAGAAGATTTGGATTCTGTAAAAATAAATCGAAAGGTTTATAAAAATTGTAATAAGATTAACACATTTTCAAAATTTCCTCTAAGAATTTCTAGAAATTTTTAAATTATAGGTTTTCGTTCACATTAGAGAAAGAAATTGAAGGATTCAAAAACTTTTCCCATAAGATTCACATATTTTTAAAATTTTCTTTAATATACCAAGTTTCTTTTTTCGGAATTCCTAGAAATTTTGAAGTTATAAATTTACATTCACTCTATTTGATTTATCTTGAAATATTGTGAGTTTTAACTTTGAAAATTTTCTGGAGAGTCTTTCAATTTTGTACAAAACAGAGTTGGTTGATTCAATATTTTGAAAATTCTAGATTTTTTGTAAGAATTTTAACTTTCCAAAAGTAGAAGATTTGGATTCTGTAAAAATAAATCGAAAGGTTTATAAAAATTGTAATAAGATTAATACATTTTCAAAATTTCCTCTAAGAATTTCTAGAAATTTTTAAATTATAGGTTTTCGTTCACATTAGAGAAAGAAATTGAAGGATTCAAAAAATTTTCCCATAAGATTCACATATTTTTAAAATTTTCTTTAATATACCAAGTTTCTTTTTTCGGAATTCCTAGAAATTTTGAAGTTATAAATTTTCATTTACTGTATTTGATTTATCTTGAAATATTGTGAGTTTTAACTTTGAAAATTTACTGGAGAGTCTTTCAATTTTGTACAAAGCAGAATTGGTTGATTTAATATTTTGAAAATTCTAGATTTTTTTGTAAAAATTTTAACTTTCCAAAAGTAGAAGACTTGGATTCTTTAAATATAAATCGAAAGGTTTATAAAAATTGTAATAAGATTAACACATTTTCTAAATTTCCTCTAAAATTTCACGTTTTTTTCAGAATTTCTAGAAATTTTGAAATTAGAGGTTTTCGTTCACATTACAGAAAGAAATTGAAGGATTTAAAAAATGTTCCCAAAAGATTCGCATATTTTTGAAATTTTCTTTAATATACCAAGTTTCCTTTTTCGGAATTTCTAGAAATTCTGAAGTTATAAATTTTCATTCACTGTATTTGATTTATCTTGAAATATTGTGAGTTTTATCTTTCAAAATTTCCTGGAGAGTCTTTCAATTTTGTACAAAACAGAGTTGGTTGATTTAATATTTTGAATATTCTAGATTTTTTGTAACAATTTTAATTTTCCAAAAGTAGATTTGGATTCTGTAAAAATAAATCGAAGGGTTTATAAAAATTAGAATAAGATGAACACATTTTCAAAATTTCCTCTAAAATTTACCCTTTTTTTGTTAGTCTTAAATTAATGTCCAAAATTTAATGGTTTTATTAGTAATAATTCAGTTAAAAAGTTTGTGTAAGCCGAACAAGTAATGTATACCCAGAATGCTATTTTTGCATCCACTGAATTTTATGACGTGATTATGAGGGGCTGGACGGCACAATAGCAGGGTTAGTGACGTTGTCATTAGAATCTTACAGGGCGTTAAATTTTAGTGGTTACAAAAATACCGTTCCAACTATAGTAAGCAAGCAATGCCCCAATTCAACCCATTAATTTCGTGTTTCATCACGGAACAAACATTCCCACTTACTTACGATGTACTACTGGAAGCACACGAAAGGCACGACTTACAAGTAGCACACCGACCTCCCAACTTCCAATAATACCAACTTCCAACACCAAAAAAACTAAAACCAATATAAGCACCGTCGGTAATTACCCCTTTCTCATTAACACAGCATGTCAAACAAAACTGAAACCAAAGACTCACATACAAACTCGGCACGAATAAAAAACACCCAGAAACCTAAATCTTACCACAAAATTAATCCTACCGGTCGGAAGGGACAGGATTATAGGTTGTACTCTTGAGTCTGGGGGATGGGTTCGGCAATGGGTTCGCGTGGTTCTAGGTGCTTGGCAGGCGAGGTATAGACAGTCGAGTGTAAAAGAGTGTCTAGAGTGCGTTCGTCGCCGTTGCAGTAACGGTTGGTAGCATTGCGCAGGATACACGGAAGGATGACTTTGAACTCCTTGCGAAAATTCTCGTTGAGCCATGCGTACAAGAAAGGATTGTAACAAGTAGAAGACATAGCGAGACAGTGGGCTAAGAAGAAGAACAAGTGAAAGTAGGAGTCTTGTTCAAAGACGCAGTAGTCGTTGATGAGGTTGATCAGATTGAGCGGGAACCAACAAATCCCGAAGATCGTCACCATGGCGATCAGCATCCTATTCGTGCGCTTTTTCTTCTCTTTGTCGGCTTCCTCCCTCCTCGCGCTTTTCGTTCCAGGTTTGGACTTGGCCCTTTCGTTGAGGCGCTGCGAAATCCGCCAGTAGCAGTACCAGATGATGCAGAACGGGATGATGAACTGCATGATTAAAGTGAAGCTACCGAAAGCGATTTCTAGGTTTTCGTAGGGCCAGTTTTCCTCGCAGACGATGCAGCCGACTTCGGAGCGCACCTCCTGCATGCATATCCCGTACGGGAGGGTTATCAGCATGGAGAAGACCCAGATCCCGAGGAGGATGAGCAGACAAGTGTACAGTTTCATTCGTTGTCTAAGAGGGTGCAGGATAACGAAAAATCGATCGATGGCGATGGCGGTTAGTGTGAGGGTGGAAATGTAGACGCTGGTGGCTTGGGCGTACCCTACGAGGTGGCAGGTCAAGCTGCCGAAAATCCATTTGCCGAGAAAGGTGTAGAGCGGAGTGAACGGAACGCACAAGATACAGAGGAGGATGTCGGACAGAGCCAGGTTTGTGATGAAGAGGTTGGTCACGGTTTGCATGGCTTTGTTGGAGTAGACGATGTAGCAGACGAGGATGTTGCCGAAGAGGCCGAGGAGGAAGATCACGGAGTAGAGGATGTAGAAGACGATTTGGACAAGGAGGTGACTTATTATGCCGGTTTCTTGACATTGCGTTGTTACGTTATTTGTCGTTGTAGATTTTACGGCCTCCATTGTTGCGTTTAAGAGGGACATTTTAAGCGCGGGGCTGAAACAGACAAGGGTGACAAAGAGCGGATTCTAGGCAAATGCCCGATTTTATTTGAGCCCTATTTCTCTTTTTTTCTGACTATTTTGTTCTAAATTTCAATTGTCGTTGTAAAATTAATGGTCAAATCAAATTGAATAAACTTCAAAGTGGCCCCGCCTACCCACCCGATTTTCTTTTTGATCGCACATTGTATTGGTCGAACTAACTCCACCCATCTTCAATTTTGAATTTCATTGGCTTATTTTATTTATTTTGAGATGAAAATTGAATTCTATTTCGGCAAGTCGTCAAATCTAATACAAAAAAAAACTTCAAAATGTCCCCGCCCAACTGCTCCGTTTTTTGATCACCCATTTAATTGGATGAATATAGATCAAAAAGGTAAAATCAACCCCACCCACTTCCAATTTTAGACTTCATTGGCTTATTTTATTTACTGTGAAATAAAAATTGAATTAGTTTTGTCAAATGGTCAATCTAATTAAAAAAAACTTAGAAGTGGATTTTAAATTTTTTAAGTTGTCGATTCTGCTAGATATTTCAATTTCTCGATTATTCCGAATTTTCCTATTTTCAGTTTGAGGAATTTTGGATTCGAAGTTCCGATTATTCCAGTTCTCGATTCTTGGACTCTACCGTTTTTTGACTTTACGTTTCATTTTTGGTGTTTTCGATTTTTCAATATTCAAATGTTTCGGTTTTTCGACTTTTCAATATTTCGTTTTTTGAATTTCTCCAATTTTTTTCATTCGATTTTACGACATTTTTTATTTTTGATTCTTCGACCTTTCGATTTTAGGGTGTTTTCGATTTTGCGATTTTCAAATATTTTAACTTCTCGATATTTCGACTTCTCGATATCTCGATTAGATATATCGAATTTTCGATTTTTGGTTTTTTCGATTTTTCGACTTAAATTTTCAATTTCTCAATTTTTGGCATTTTGTATTTTCGATTTTACAACTATCAAATATTTCAATGTCTTGATTTTTCGACTTTTTGATATTTGGATTGTTCCATTTTTCGATTTTTGGATTTTTCGATTTATTAAAAGTTTTCAAGATTTCAGAGCATTTGATTTTACAGGGATAAAAAAAAGCTGATATAAGTCGAAAACATAAACCGTAGAAATGTAAAAAAAGGCGCTAATAATGCGAAAAAAAACGACTAAAAAATGGGACAAAAAAAAACAAAAAATCTGCAAAAGTGACAACAGCTCTAACAACAGCGAAAAAAATACATATAAAAAATGAAAAGACAACAAAACATATATAAAAGAAGGATAATACAAAGTCGCCAAAAAAATCAAAAAATACTACACAAAGTCAAAAAAAAAAAGAAAAGTGGCAAAAAAGCTTACCAACAAGGCGGAAAAAAGAGAACTAAAAAAAGCTTAAAAAAATCTCCAAAAACAATAAAAATGTGACAAAGGGGTAACAAAAATGCGATTAAAATTATATAGACACAAGAAGACAAAAAGGTCTAAATAAAAGGCGAAACAAAGGAACATAAATTTCTTGTTTTTTCTACTTTTTGACTTTTTAGCTATTCAATTTTCCAGTTTCTCGATTTTCTGAGTTTTCAATTTGTCCAATTTTCGATCCGAAATTCCGATTTTTCCAGTTCTCGATTTTTCGACTTTTGTATTTTTTTTATTTTTCGTTTCAATTTTTCGTGTTTTTGATTTTTCAATTTACGAATATTTCAATCACTTTCGACTTTTTGTTATCTCGATTTTTAATATTTCAACTTTTCGATATTTCGGTTTTTCAGTTCTCGATTTCTTTTATTTTTCCATTTCTTGATTTAGAACTTCCAATTTCTTGATTTTTGGTGTTTTCTATTTTCGATTTTACAATGTTCAATATTAGAATTTCTGGATTTTTCGACTTTTGAATATTTCGATTTTTGAATTGTTCGACATTTCGATTTTTGGATTTTTCAACTTCAAATCTTCAATTTTTCCGTTCGATTTTAGGAATTTTCAAATTTTAACTTTTAGTTCTTTCTAGTTCTTAATCTCTTGACTTTTGATAGGAATGTCGAATTTTGGATTTTTGGTTTTTCGATTTTTCAAATCTCGATTCTTTTATTTTTCCGTTTTTTGATTTAGGACTTCGATTTTCCAATTTCTCTCTCGATTTGAAATATTCGAATCTTTCGATTTTCCGACTTTTAATACATATTTCGATTTTTTAATTGTGTGGCTTTTCTATTTCTTGATTTTTCAACTTTCAATTTCTCTATAATCCATTTTTTTCCGTTTGATTTTACGACTTCAAATTTTGATTTCTCTATTTTCTCGATGCTTCAATTTTTCGTTATTTCAATTTTTCGATATCTCGATTTTCCAGTTTCACGTTCTCTAAATTTTCCATTTCTCTATTTTACGACCCCTCAATTTTTGATTTCGCTTTTTCGACTTATGGGTATTTCGATTTTTGGATTTGTCGACTTCAATTTTTCGTTATTTCAAATCTTCTTGTTTCCGATTTTTCGATTTTTCGAGTTTTCGATTCTAGTTCCATGTTTGGAACTTGAAACCTTTCAATTTTTTGTGTTTGAATTTCTCTATTTTTCGACTTCTCAATATTTCGATTTTTGAGTTGTTCGATTTCTGGATTTTTCAACTTCAAATTTTCAATTTCACCATTCTCCGATTTTTTCCATTCTATTTTTTGACTTCGTCATAATTTGAATTTTCTTTTCAATTTTTGTTGTTTTCGATTTTTCAATTGTCAAATATTTCAGTTTCCCGATTTTTCGACTTTTCGATAACTCGGAAGTTTGACATTTCAAGTTTTCGATATTTCGATTTTTCAAATCTCGATTCTTCTATTTTTCCATTTTTTGATTTAGGACTTCGATTTTTCAATTTCTCGATTTTTAGTGTTCTCTATTTTAGAATTTACAGTTTCCAAATACTTGTTTGAATTTCTCGATTTTTCGATTCTTCAATATTTAGATTTTTGAATTGTTCGATTCTTCAATTTTTCAATTTCCCGATTCTCCAAGTTTTTTTATTCGATTTCTTGACTTTTTGTTTTTTTGATAATTCGGTTTTTCGTTATTTCAATTTCTCGACTTTCCGATTCGACTTTACAGTCGTCAACTATTTCAATGTCTCGATTTTTCGACTTTTCGATATTTGGATTGTTTTATTTTTCTATTTTTGGATTTTTCGATTCTCCAAATTTTCCATTTCTCGATTTTACCACTTTCCGATTTTTGATTTCCATTTTTGGATTTGTCGACTTCAATATTTCGTTATTTCAGTTTTTCTACTCTCTGATTTTTCAACTTTTCGATTTTTCAGTTTTTCGAATTGTCGATTTTGCTAGATATTTCAATTTCTTTATTTTTAGAGTATTCGATATTTCGATTTTCCGACTTTTGGAATTTTTAATTTCTTGAATTGACGATTAGGAGTTCCGATTTTTTGATTTTTGGTTTCAATTTTTGGTGTTTTTGACATTTCAACTTTTCAATATTTTGATTTTCGAATTGTTCGACTTTTCGATTTCTGAATTTTTCAACTTCAATTTTTCAATTTCTCGATTCTCCAATTTTTTCCATTCGATTTTACTACTTACCAGCACCAAAGCGGAAAAAAGAGAACAAAAAAAAAACGCTTTAAAAATCCCCCAAAACAATAAAAATGTGACAAAGGGCAACAAAAACGGTCTAAAGAAAAGGCGAACAAAAGGAACATAAAAAAGATGACAAAAAGGCCATTTCTGATATTGATAAACCATAAACGCAGACCCAAATTTTTGACTTTTAGGATTTTCAATTTTTTGTTTTTTACATTTTTTGACTTTTCAGTTTTTCGAGTTGTCTACTTTGATATTTCTATTTTTTGATTTTTAGATTATTTGATATCTCGATTTTAAGAGTTTTCGAATTTTCAATTTCTCAATTTCCGATTTTTCCAGTTCTTAAATTTTTGACTTTACCATTTTTTGATTTTTCGTTTAAATTTTTGGTGTTTTCGATTTTTCGACTTTTCCATACAACTGAATTTTTGATTTTCTCAGTTCTCGATTTTTTATTTATCGATTTCTTGATTTTGGATCTGGATATTTCTATTTCTCGATTTTTGGTGTTTTCTATTTTCGGTTTTACAATTTTAGAATATTTGAATTTCTCGATTTTTTACTTTTCAATATTTCGATATTTGAACGGTTAGACTCTTCGACTTGTGGATTTTTCAACTTCAAATTTTGATTTCTCGATTTTTCGACTTTTAGTTAATTCGTGTTTCCGTTATTTCAATTTTTCGACTTTCCGATTCTTCAGTATCTCGATTTTTGGAATTTTGAATTCTTCGATCTTTCGATTTTGTTGTTTTCAAATATTTTAACCTATCGGTTTTTCGACTTCTCGATATCTCGATTTTTGGTATATCGAATTTTTGATTTTTGGTTTTTTCGATTTTTCGACTACAATTTTTCAATTTCTGGATTTTTGGTGTGTTCTATTTTCGATTTTAGACCTATCAAATATTTCAGTGTCTCGATTTTTCGACTTTGCGATTTTTGAATTTTTCGATTTTCCAGTTTATTAATTATTCGAATTTTCGAATATTCGATTTTTTGACTTTTCGAGTTGTCGATTTTCCGAGATTTCGAGTTTTCAATTTGTCGAATTTTCGATCCGAAGTTCCGATTTTTTCAGTTCGCGATTTTTAGACTTTACAATTTTTATTTTATCCTTTCAATTTTTGATGTTTTCGATTTTTCAATTTTCAGATAATTTAGTTTCTCGATTTTTCGACTTTTCGATAACTCAATTTTTGACATTTCAAGTTTTCTATATTTTGTTTTTTCAGCTCTCGATTTGTATTTCTCGATTTTTCGGATTTTTAGTATTTCGATTTTTGAATTGTTCGACTTTTCTATACCTATCTGGATTTTTCAACTTCAGTTCAATTGAACTGAAGTTGAAAAATTTGAAAATAATTATTTTCATTCGATTTCATGACTTTTCAAATTTTA